AAGACGATTGGTACTAATGTAATACGAGAAAACCAAATCCGGTGGCAGCGAAGGACTGAAACAACGTGTTACTGGTAAACTGCACAGTTCCAACAGCGTACGCTTTCGCGGCACGCACAGTGTCGTACGTGCCTCACCAATGAGGTTGGTTATCTGCAAAACAGCTAATTTTTTTTTTAGAAATTTTGAAGTATAATACGATTTTTAAAAACTGAAATGTCAGAAAAAGATGCGTTAGACAATAATCAAAAAATGGCCAACGCACTGACTGCCGGTGCAAAGATGCGTTTTTTACAAAGTTCTCCGCAGATTTTTGTTGCTAACGGCACTGTTTTTCCGACAGATCTAGCTAAGAGAACTAATGCTGGCCACCAGAACTAATTGAAAACATCCCTTTAAATTTTCCGCTTCCTAGCTTTTCTGGCTCCCGAGTTAAAAATTTACTCACTAAAAGTTTTCACTAGCCAGTACGTGAGAATCACGCATAACTAAGGCAGAGCTTAAAGTCACTAGGTTCTACGTGGACGGAGAACATCCCTTAAAATTTCAGTGTTCCAGTTTTCCTGTTTCCCGAGTTAGCAACTCACAAAAAACTTCCACGGGCCCGCATGTGGGAACCACGCATAACTGGAGGCTGGGTTTGAACTCATTACCTTAAACTTTCAGCTTTCTAGTTTTTCTGGTTTTGGGTTAGCGGCTTATCCGCCAAAAACTTTGGCGAACCCCTACGTGGGAACCATGTGGGTGAGAGCATCCATCCCGGGAATGGGGGTCCGTACATTTAGTCAGCCTTGTAGCTTTTATAGATCTCGAAACGAAAATTTTCAAGGAATTGTTTGTGTGTGTATCCATGTGTACAGACGCACACATAGATACATACACAGACAATTTCTTGAAAACATGTATTTCTGTATTACAAAAAAGGAAAAAACGCATAAAAAGTACCTCAGCCATGATACTTATGAGAGTGGCTGATACTTTCGCGGGATCGTCCGATGGTTTTACCTGCTTTACCCATTTCAAGGCCTAAAAAAGCAATTATGTAAGCCATTTCAATAATGGCAGCTCAGGGGTTCCGATTCCCGAACACTGTTATCATTGTTCCGTGAAAGAAAGGAAAAACATACCCTGATAACAGTATTAAGTGCCTGAGCCCAATAATTGTTGGCGTCTTGCAACTGCTGCAGCTTCCACTGCACATCTGGCTGAGCTGTCGCTCGATAAACGCCTCCTGGCATTTTCGGATATTTTATTGCAACCTTGAATTTGATAAAGTCTTCAAAGGCTCTTTTTTTTTTAAAAAATTCGTTATTTTGCATAAAAATGAAAAAAATTAATAGCACTAGCGAGCAGTCAGTCTCTGATGGAGACAAGATCTGCAGCTTTACCAGCACATGGTTCCTGCTGACATGTGTGACTTTACCTACTT